TCATTTCACTTCCATTCCATTTGAAGAGGAGACTTCCATCATCTTACCTTGACGACGAATCCTCCTCTAGATTGAGCGTTCGATTCAAACTCGACGAGCAAGGCATCATTCAAACAGAGGCGCCGCCCAAGTTTGAGAGAACCACCACCCCGTGTGAGGATGTGATGCCAGAAACTGTTTCTAATGAATGCCCTTCTAGCACAGGTGGTGTTAAGAATGTTTCTCCCAACAGTAAGAGGGTTGGTCTACCTCCACCACAGGGGGATTTCAGGCCACTGCCATCGACTCGAATCAGTCGGAAACTGATACTGCAGTCGATACCCTCCTTCCCTTCTTTTACTAATCCAAACTCAAATGAATGGACACAGTGAATTGTAAAGGCTGTGTTCTTGTCAGCCATTGCTGCTGCAGCTCAACCTCTGGTGCAACTGGGGAATCTGTCATCAAGTTTAGGCCTCTAACGTTATGGAAATTTTTTGGAGTTTGTTTGTCTTGACAAACTCTGTTAGACACAGTTCAATTTGAATCTGTGTAGTGATGATGCTTCAATTCTTTGGTTTTAGGTTAAATATTCAGGATTTGAATTCTCTCTTCTTCTTGTACCCTTGCCCCCCAAGAAATAAAAAGTGTCGAACCAAATTTAAACTATTTTCTCCATTCATATTATTTGATTTATTATGATATTTTATATATTTTTAATATAAATTATATTGAAAAATAAAAATACTTTATTTCAAAAAATATATAAAACAAGGTTTTTTTTAGAAAAAAAAAAAAAAATTTGTCCTTAAAGGAAGGGTTGGATGAAAAACTCCATTTAAAAAATTTTAAAAATTCAAAAAAATGCGGCAAAACTCTTGATTGATTAATGCAAGTGAACTGTGCTTAGATACTTCTTAAAACGGCACTGATCGCACTGATAGGGAGAGGAGAGGATGGATAGGTAGATTTGTGCTTAGATACTTCTTAAAACCGCACTGATAGGGAGAGGAGCGGATGGATAAGTAGACTTTCCCTTTTCAATTCACAGAATGTGATTTGGGAGGATAAGTAGACTTCCCATTTTGATTCGATTCACATAATGTGATTTGGGTCGATTTGGAAGGATAAGTAAACTTCCCCTTTCGATTCACAGAATTACCCTTTTTGATTCCTTTTGATTCACATAATGTGATTTGGGAGGATAAGTAGACTTCCCCTTTCGATTTACAGAATTATTCCTTTTGATTCCTTTCGATTCACATAATGTAATTTGAGAGGATAAGTAGACTTCCTCTTTCGATTCACAAAATTACCCCTTTTGATTCATTTCGATTCACTGTGGGTTGGGACATGATGGAAATTTGCTCGACTCCCTGGGAAAGAAATCACTCTAAAAAATAATTTTTTTAAAAAAATGGAGATCGGAATAAATTGGAGGAATAGGGATGCAAAAATAAATTAACCCATAAAGTCTAAACGTGGGTTGGGCTTAAGAACGAAAACATCTTTCATAAATCGCTACAGTTTTTGCAGAATTTAGGAGACGACGTGTTGCTCAAGTAGGCTGCCGGTTGCACTTTGTGAGAGCTTACGATCGGGAAAACCCATATTTCTATAAAGAGAAAGAGAAGGGCTTCATCGGAGGCAAAGGATCGAAGCCGAAGAGTGGTGAATTGTAAAGAACAAGATTATGGAATGTGTTTTCGGCCTAGTGGGTAATGGTTTCACCATTGTTGCGGCCGATTCTTCGGCGGTACACAGCATCTTGGTTCATAAATCCAACGAGGACAAGATTATGGTCCTCGACTCTCACAAGCTCGTCGCTGCTAGCGGCGAGCCTGGTGACAGGTTTGATTTACAGAGCTTTAACAGATGATTTGGTGTTGTCAGAAATCTGGGGGTTTTGATTGGTTTTTTTGTGGTGTTTTAGGGTTCAGTTCACCGAGTACATCCAGAAGAATGTCGCGTTGTATCAGTTCCGAAATGGGATCCCTTTGACAACTGCTGCTGCTGCTAATTTTACTCGTGGCGAGCTCGCCACTGCATTGAGAAAGGTACATAATTAGTTCTTTGAAATGTATTTTCTAAAATTAGGTTTCTTGTGGGCATTTGGGGGTGGTCCATTTTTGCCTGTTTTTTATTCTCTCCGGGCTTGTGGGATGGAATCTTGTTGCCCTCATCTCACCATACTATAGTTCTGGTCTTGTTGTCTCTGGGGTGGCAAATTCATAATTAACTTGAATTCGAATTCAAGGGTTTGGTCCCTCATCAAGAGAACTTTTGATTTCTTCCTTTCACAGAACTCGACTTCATGGTAGTGTAACTTTCTGAGCAGTGGATGTTTGAATCCGGGGAGGGTTGCATTACAATACCATATGCAGTAGTTTGTTCCTATCGTTATCTCTTGTAACAGCCTAAGTCCACTGCTAACCGCTAACCGATGTTGTTCGCTTTAGCCTGTTACGCATCGCCGTCAGCCTCATGGACGCATCTACTAGGGAGAGGTTTCCACACCCATATGAGGAATGCTTCATTCCCCTTTCCAACTGATGTGGGCTTAGGCCATTACAAATGGTATCAGAGCCAAATACCGGACGGTGGGAGACACTGGTCGGAGTAGGGCTAGACTCTCTTCATAGTAGACACGTTTTAAAATCTTGAGGGGAAGTTCAGAAAGGAGAGCCCAAAGAAGACAATATTTAGTAGTAGTGGCTCGGGTTGTTACATTCGTACAGGCTAAGATTTGGTTCTTATTCTTGTTAGGAAGCAAATTCAAGCACTATCTCCTTTCTGCTGTTAATCTATATGCTTTAGTGTTAAGTTGGAGAGTAATAAGTGAGTCGTTGGTGGTTGTTTCCACGAGGATACGAACAAATCTTTTATCTTGTGACATTTATAGGTTGTGGGCTTTTTGCTATCCTGTCTTTCTTGGAAGTTTATGGGTGAAGAATGTTTGGAATTGATTCTATTTTCTTATGAGAGTTCAGTTACCCAACAAATGTGCGAACCTCTGGTTTAGCATTCACGTGTTTTTCCCTAATGAGATGTTTAGAAAGGTAAGAAAAAACATATGCTGTTGGGTAGTTGTTCATTTCTTGATACTTGCATTATGAATGTGACCCGTTACATACCACCGTTAGCCTCACAGTTCTAAAACGCGTCTGATAGAGAGAGGTTTCCACACCCGTGTAAGGAATGCTTCGTTCCCCTCTCGGAAGCATAATTTGGTGTTTCTGCATTGCCATTAAGATGTATTGGTTTTGCCCAATAGTTAATAGATGAGGTGGTTTAAATGGTAAATTTTTGGGTAGAATTGCTAAGAGCAGGTATGGGCTGGGCCGTACTTGTACGTTCTTGGCATGGCTTGGCTACTTGATGATGATAGGTTGAGATGGTAGAATAGGAACCTAACATAAAAATAGGAAAAAATTTTGGGCTTGTGCATAGAATACAACAGCCATTGGTATTTGAAGCAGCTCTCTTTCTGTTCTTGGAGGAATGTTCTTAATGATGGAAAAACAAAGGGCTACATCTTGTTTATCCATCTTTTATCTATTTATTTTGTTGATTAACTTATCATGATTTCTTCTCCAGTAAGAAACATCTAACCCTGCCTAGTTCAGAAACATCTAACATCTAAGACAGGTGTTACCATAACTTCTCTGGTCTAGGGTTCATAGCTAACATATCTATAACAGACCAAGTCCACCGCTAGCAGATATTGTCCACTTTGGTTCGTTATGTATCGCCATCAACCTCACGGTTTTAAAACGCATCTACTAGGGAGAGGTTTCCACACTCCTATAAAGAATGTTTCATTCCCCTCTCCAACCATGTGAGATCTCACAATATCACTGTTCCATCTCCCTTGCCCGTGTTTGAATATCTAGAGATTTGTCTTTCTTTCATATCTTAATTCATCTATCAAGTGTTCAGTTCTATTGCAAAGCACTTGGTTCTTGGGGTCTTTTATAGACTGAACGGCCGAAGCTAGTAAAATCTTTCAATAGCTTATTTTGTTGTTATATAATACTGCAATTTCTCCTGTAATTGTTGTGCAACTACTACTATTGGGTCTTACTGGCCTTCCTACCATTGTCTATTTTCAGAATCCATACTCGGTAAACGTCCTCCTGGCTGGCTATGATAAGGAAACTGGTCCATCGCTTTACTACATCGATTACATTGCAACGCTTCACAAGGTTGAGAAAGGTGCTTTTGGTTATGGATCCTACTTTTCACTCTCTATGATGGATAGGCATTACCATAGCGGCATGTCAGTCGAGGAAGCAATCGACTTGGTCGATAAGTGCATCGTCGAGATACGTTCAAGGCTAGTTGTGGCTCCACCAAACTTTGTGATCAAGATTGTAGACAAGGATGGGGCAAGAGAGGTTGCGTGGCGTCAATCCATTAAAGATACTGGAGCTGTTCCAGTTTGAGGAGTTTGACATTGTTGCTGAACATGGCTTTTATTTTGACATTTTCTTCCTCTGTTTTGTATACAAATGTTATGTGCTGTCTGCCATTTGAGTTGCTTCTATCTACCAGACAGGTTTGATTTAGGAAAATGGATTCAATATTTGAGGTTAAGATTCATCTTCTACTTGATACGCCCCATATTGGTTGGGGAGGAGAACAAATCACCCTTTATAAGGGTGTGGAAACTTTCCCCTAGCATACGCGTTTTAAAGCCTTGAGGGGAAGCGCGAGAGGGAAAACCCAAAGAGGACAATATCTACTAGCGGTGGATCTGGGTCGTTACAATACCCATAGCGAGCCTTGTCATGTGGGCCTACAAGGTTTCTATTTTTTGGACACCTTATGGTTTCAAAAAGATCAAGCAGAACTGATATACCCTACTCTTAGTTCAAGAGCTTCTTAATCTAATCTACAAATTGTCAAGCGGGATGTCATCTGTTCTTGCAGATTCACAGGGAATGTATAGAAGTGATCATTTCTCAACAGTGCAAAACTGGAAAATTTCCATGCCAAGAACAGGAAAGAAATAAAAACGTTGCTCTTTATTAGTCAACAAGGAGAAAATTTATAATTTGTTTTATTGTAGCATGTTTATACATTCTATAGACATAAGTTCCTGTTGATCCAGATTTCTACACCATACTTACAAAAGGATGCAAAGAATATCAGAAAAAAGCTCTAAAAATGGATGAGTGTGGAGAAGGAAGAGTGAACCTGTCAAGAACAAGCCAATACAATCTCTTGCCATTGAAAAACCTTTTGCTGTAGCAGATGAAGGAGACGGCGGCAATTCATCTGCAGGCGGTGGCTGTGGTGGCGGTGACACAAGTGTAGAGGGTGGTGAGGCCATCGCAGGAGGCGGTGTGTTCTCCTCAGCTACATGGTTGTAGGCAAACATTTGAAGGTAGTATTCGTTAAAATAGTGTCGGCAATCGATCACAAATCGCTACTAAATAAACATGCTTCTTTTCTAGGTTTGTGATTATTATGATACATAGATTCTTGTTGTATCCTTTGCTGAAGAAAGGGTTATTTAGTATGATAATCCAGATTTGATGAAATTCATATAACGAAGAAGAAATCAGAACATTACCAGGACTATCCGGCTCTTGGATTCCTGGAATTTTCGAGCTCTGAAGAGGAGGCAGAGTTCGTGAAGCTGATTAAACAAACAACACATCAGTTTTCAAATTAACCAGTCTTTGATTAATTATTGCCGATAAAACCATTGGAAAACAAGAGTCGCTGGAATCAACGATCCGAAATCAAAACCGAGGAAGTTCAAGAATCAAGCAACTCCGTAAGTCAATAAAGAACGAGAGAGCAAGAGAGGGAAGAACGGTTTCGAACTCATACCAGAACAGAGCGAATCTAGTGAACTATTCATCTCCAAATGCGTTCCATCACTGAGAGGACAAATCGAAGACAGAGCGATCAGCTTCGTATTATTCAACGGGAAGCCCAAAATCTGAGGGTCACGAAGAAAATAACAGAGACAAATTCCACCACCGGAACCGTAAGCAGAAGAGAACGCCTCACAGCACGACGAGGGAACCGAATCGGAAAGATTGTTCGGTGGAGCCGAGATGAAAGGCAAACATGGCGAAAGCAAGAGAAGCTCTCTGGTTGTGCATCCGGTCGGAGGCGACATCGCAACCATCGCCATCGACGCCGTGAGAACCGCAATTAACGATTTGAGGACGCTAATGAACACCGCCATTGTTGAGGTTCTGAATTCTCAAGAAAATTACAGAGATCGGAGAATCAAGAGATTTCTTCTTCACGGCTTTTAATTTGTTAGCAAGTTCGTTCAAGTCCCTCTTAAACGATTATTTAAAGGTGAAAATGGCGGGAAGAACAAGTGAATTCCCCAAAATACCCTTGACAAATTCAACAGAAAACAGAATCATAAAACTCCAATCAAATTCCGGCGAATAACAATTATATTACAAGAGAGAAATAAAAAAAAACGAAATCGGAATCATGAGGAACAACAATATCCATCAAACACTCAGTTGAATTTTAAAATTACAAATACGAATCCCAGAAACATGAAAGGAAAACTGTTTGAACGGACGGCAGAGGAGGAGGGAGTCAGAACTGGGCGGCTTCCGGCCGTCCCCGTCGGAGCTTCCGCATCAGGAACCAACGGAGAAGATGGAGTTTCAGCTACCGGAGTAAGAGCCGGCGTGGTGGGTTCCGGCGCTGCAAAAAAGCCAAGTTTTTCAGAGAAGAACAAAAAACAGAGTAATTCGAAAAAGCAAGACTAATCATTACCTTGAGGACTCGCCGACGGTGAAGATTCCGGCGGGAAACTTGGTCCAAGAGCAATTGGGCCTGTTCATTTCAAAAACATGATTATTACTTGATCATTAACAGGAGGAAGAACTGAAAATCTCAATGATAAGAAACGGTACCTGGAGCAGGAACAGGGGCAGCAGCGGCTGAAACAGAGGAACCCAGATCATTAAATTTCACAACACAATGAAAAAACATCAAACTTTCAGATAATTAGAATCATACATACCATTGCATTGGAGGGGGACACCAGGCAAGTTACAAGCGCGAGGAAGAGAAATGGCGAGAGTTCTATTGATGGGTATTTGAAAGGGAACTCCTCCGGTGACGATGAGGCAGAGGCAGTCCCGGCCGCCGCTAGCAAGTGATCGGATGGCATTACAGCAGTCGGCGGTCGGGGAAGTGCCATTTGCAGAGCTGTTGGCGAGGAAGTTCATGCAAGGGGTGAAGGAGGAGAGCATGGAGGCAGTACATGGGGTATTGGTCTGGCCATTCGCCGGAAGAACAGCCACCAGGGCCAAGGCCAGGAGTGGAAGAAAGGGGCCAAGGAGCTTCATTTTGGGTTTGTTTGAACTTGAATTTGGTGCTGTGATTGAGAAACAGAGGAATGTTTGGGGGATTTATAGAGAAGAGAGACAAATTTTGGAGAGGGGTTGATGAGGGGGTTGGTTTTGGAGCTCAACTACTGCAACAAACATGTGGAAGTGGGTGGCAATTGGAGTGAGGTGGCATGTTTATAAGCTTGTTTTTCTAGTTGAATTTGGATTCGTTAAGGAACACCAATTTTGTAGCTTCATGATTGCCCAAGGTTTCAACTTCTCGTATAATTAGAAAACTAGGTCACCTCAATCAACTCAATGTAACTCATATGATTTGAGTTAGATTATCAATTTATCCGGATAGAGTTGGAAAAATCGTTTAGACCAACTTAAAATTTCGGATTGGTTGGATTACTGACTCGAACAATTGGAATACAATTCACAGTCTAACCTAACCCGACTCTGTTTTTTTTTTTTGGTTGGATTAGGTTGCCAGGTTGTTTTTAATTATTTTTTTTTTTTGAAAAATTTTAGTTATCCACCGTACATATTATATTAATAACTAAAATCTCATAAAACTCAAATATCAAACATTCACACGTCAGAATGCATCGCTACGTAACTACTTATAAATGTCAAATATTATTCACTTCTAATTACCACTCGAGTAAGAGGTTGGACTAGCACTTGGGTCGACAAGCTAAAAAGATGTTAAAACACGAACTCACCAACCAAATTGTGACAAGAGATTCGTTAAAAAAAAAGGTAGGAAAATTCGTTCACCAACAAAACCCACCATTCATCAGCCTTCTACACTCCAAATTTGCTACAAATCCCAAAGTCTTAGAGGAAGTTCTTGTCAACAATGGAAGCAAGTATTGTGCTGGCCATGGTGGCCATGTTGTTATGGGCAAGAGGAGCTGTGGCACAGTCGTCCCATTGTAGCAATGTATTCATCACTCTCTCCCCTTGCCTCAATTACATCACCCGCAACTCCTCGACCCCGTCGCCGAGCTGCTGCTCGCAGCTGACCACCGTCGTTCGCTCGCAACCGCAGTGTCTTTGTGCCTCCTCACTTGGAGGGATCAATGTCAACCAAACTCTGGCTCTCGCTATTACTCGTTGTAATGGTAAGATTTCTCTACCAATTTATAAAAAGTTTTTCGATAAAAGTAACCATACGATAATCAAGTACTAACTAATGTCTTGTTAATTTTGATAGTCGTTTCTCCGTACAGTTCGGCTGAAACACCAAAATCTCCAAGCGAGGAGTCTAGAGGTACCGGTAAAACTAAAACACTGAACTTTACTTCAAAATTTAGTCACCATTTTTGCATTATTGCAAGCTTTCAACTGATTGTATTTTTCATTTTTATAACGGTATGGGTTTTCGTGGTTTGGAGATCATTTAAATTATGTCCAAATTGAGTTGTGCACGTGTCCATTATTATTTTTGCATCAATAAACCAAATATATGAATAAACTATTCGATAAGATATCGTTTTTTTAATAACTATTGCATGTAGAATCGAGAATCTTCACGCCTGTAATAATCTTTAGATACAAATTCTACATGTTTTGTCCAATTTTTCAAAACTCTCAATTTCATTATTCACATAACAAACAACAAGCAAAAATTGTAACATCTTAATAATATTCGACATTGTCATAAAACTAAAAACAGCTGAATACCACATTTTTTTAGAATTGGTTAGAGTAAAACAAATATAAGATAGATCATCCAATTAAATAAACAATAAAAATAATTAGTTTAAAAATGTCGTATATAGCAAAAATAAAAATGCTATGAAATATTTTAATTGCAATATTAGAGAGCCTTAAACTAAACAAAATAATATTAAAAAAATGTATATGCCTCGAACCGGAGGTCTTATCCACGATCTCGAAATCGAACCGATTCAGTTCGGGTTCAAAAAAATGAACCCAACTCTACCTAAAATGCTAATCCAACCCAAATCAACTCTTATAGTTCGAGTTGGGTTGATCCGGGTTGTCGGGTTAAATGTACACCCTATTCTAACATGTGAAAATTCAAATCTTGATCTTTTGATTAAGTGTACATGTCACAACCAGTTAAAAGTGTAAATACTTTACGGTTATTTTTTTTTTCTTACAAAGAGATATAGAAGTTTCGAAGGTGAACAGTATTTTATTTCACAAGATTTTTAGTTATATATGATACCATAGCTTATTTCTAAGTGTCTGGTAATCTCATCAACGACAACCAAGATAATATTGAAACGATAAAATTATAAATCTTAATAATACTGTTATTGCTACGAAGTTCTAATTAATTCGTTTATATATCAAATCATTAAATTAAAATCATTTTATCTCATTCTAACCTAAATTTGACCGTCGTCTCATCGACCCAAAACAGTCCATTAACGACAACGACAACGACAACGAGATTGAAACTCTTAAAGGTATGGAAAATTACAATTTTAACCCTAATTAGTCTTGAGAAATAAGTGATAACAAAAAAAAAAGGGAAAAAAGCATGATGGGCCATGGGTTTGGGCCTTTGTGAACTCTGGTTAATCAAGCACATATTGACTTTTGCACTTGTTTTTGTCCCTTTTAGTGGGCCCCAGTTGCCATTTGTCAAAGCCCACGCACAACCTTAACAAAAATTAAATTTAAATTATATATTAAAAGAAAGATAAATTAATACTCTAATTTGTTTCAAAATAATTTAAAACCTTTTAATATTATTTCGAAAATTTCATTAATTCCTTCGAATTAAAAAACAATATTAGGTTTAAAATTATAAAATTATAAAATCTTTAAAATTAAAATTTTGGATGAATAAATTTAGTTAAAATTCTAAATAATTTTTACGGTAAAAACAGTTTTATAAATAATAAAGTTCAGATATATTTTATTATTATAATTGAGTAACCACGAATAATAAAACAATCTGACGTGGATGCAATCAAGTCCCCGCTGGTCAATGCGGGTCCCAGTTGAGGGGTCCATTGGTTGAAAGTATAGCGGTGATTTGATTAAATTAAGCGGTCCCCACGAAAATGACGTCCCCTGCGCCCCTTACGTGGAGGACCCACCGATGAAAATTACTTTTTTTTTTTCTTTTTTATAAAAAAGATTATCTTTCACTTTCCCTCAACAATTAAAGTTTTTTCCACCAACTCATTTTCCTGGTAATTTTTTATTACTAATATATTTTTACAATATTAAATTATTTAATTACTCTTTTATAATTTTAATTTATATCTAAAATCTATAATTTGTATTTACTTTCAATTTATAATTACTTCAGAGAGTATCCAATTATATTGTCAATATGAGTATAACTCAATGATGGCCGACATTTATTTCTTTATGTGAGATTGGAGGTTTAAAATTCTACCACTTGAATTTACTGTACTCGAAAAATTCTGGTACGTTACGAACCAGAGTGGATAATATCTATTAGGAACGGAGAATCTAAAATAAATTTGAATAAATGAAAAAGAAAAGTGAGAAAAAAGAGGCAAATGACTTTAATTTACTTTTTTACAAATTTGTCCAAAAATTGATGATTTGTATGAATAAAAACAAAAAATAATTTGAGGAAGACTAAAATATGAATATTTTATTATATGTCATAAAAATACAAACCTTTAGTAACGTTACGTGTAATATTTTCTAATAAAGCATAGAATAAAATGAAAAAGTTCTCAAAATTGCTTTTAAAAATAATCAAAATTTCAATCATTATTTATCTACCATATAACCATAGCTGCTACATTTATCCTCTTTTTTGAAAAATTATGTTTTTTTTTATTTATTTAATTCATATCATTCACGGATGAAGCGTTACATCAACTTTATATTAATTAATATTAAAGTTTAATATATTTCATTAATTTTGCTTTTCCTAGGTCATCACCTCGTAAATTAAAGTTTTAAATATCATTCTATATGCTTTTACGCCTACTTTGAGACAATAGTGTTGATGTATTATTCAAATATCTTCGGTCTTTTTTTTGTGGTCGTGAGATAAAAAAAAAGTGTTTTTTTTAATTTTATTTAGCCGATACTCCACCCTCTATTTTTCTTGTCATATTAGGTTGTCGAGTTGTTCTTTTTTAATTATTTTTAAAAAAAATCATATTTATCTTTAATAAATATTACATCAATAATAAAACCTCGTAAAATTAAATATCCTTGATCTTTTTAAAACTAGGGTTGGTTGGATGAATTAACTGGACCAAAAAATGTTAATTCGCAAACCGAATCGAATTTTAATTTTTAAAAAATTAACCCAACTGAAACCTAAAAAAAAAATCCAACCCAACCTTCATCACGTATACCTGATAATAAATCGATGGATACATAATGTAATGTAATGTCGGAGAATAGAATTTAGGCTTAATGTGATCGACAATGCATTGAAAAAAAAGAAATATAATGATTTTTGTTTAAAACATTTAACAAATATATAAATCCTCAAATACTCGTAAGTGAGGCTTATAAATGATCGGTCTAAATCTACTTATTGGTCGAGATTATTTAAACCATTATATATATATATATATATTTATTGTTCTAAAATTAAAATAAATATTTCTTAAAAAAAAATAACTATGGATAATTATAACCATTAGCTTGTTCTTAAGATTTTTTGGTGCCATGTCACCATCATCATAAATAGCATCTTTGAATATATAAAGTAAAAAAAAAAAAATAGATCAAAAGGCTAAAAGGGAATGCTAAGAATTTTTTTTCCTTTTTTATTTTAATAAAATAAAATAAAATCTATCAAAATTCTAAATTAGAGATAATTCTTTTTAATATAAAAGATATGTTTAATTATAAATTCAATTTCTAAATTTTTATATTTTTTTCTAATAAATCGTTTAAACTTTAAAATATATTTAATTAGTCTCTAAAACTTTAGTATTTTTTAAAATTTAACAAATAATTATCTTTTAATTTTGTTTCTAACGCCGTATTTAAAAAAAAATGTTAAACACGTCAAGAACTTATTAAATATAAAATAAAAAATTAATAATTTAATACATAATTTCTAAAGTTGAATTATACATTAAATATAAAATTCAAAAACTTGTCATAAATGATATTTTTTTTAATAATATGGTCCATTTAATAATTGTGTTGTTTCCAATTATGTAGGCTTGAAAATAAGTTTATTTTTGGAAAAAAAAAATAAATTAAATCATAAACAAATAATTAAAAGTTAATCTAATTAATTTTAAAGATAAGATATAGACACATGAAATGAGTCCAACATTTATTAATTATTGTATAGTTTAATTAACTAAGAATAAATATATAATACGAAGCTTTCAATGGATTCAAAGAAAATAAATAAATAATAATAATAATATAGCCAAAGTCAATGGCTTTATTAATGGGTATTTATATTCACATGATTAATAAAATAATTAAAATAAATATGGATGATAATAAAAATAGTTAAATAATACATAAAGTGACATCACTTTTGAACTGAAGTATTGTATAGTATCAAGTACAGAAGGAATACTATTTTTTTAAAATATTAAATTAATAGTAATAATAATCTTAAATTAAAATAATTAGATTATTCTTTATTGTTTTTTAAATTAAGATGCCTATAAAAATATTCCAAACTCATTTTGATAATTTTTTTTATTTGTTTATTTTTATTACCATGATTGTTTTAGAATTGGAATATAAATTTAAATAAATATTTATTTATTTATTCTAGCTTCCAAATATATTTTACAATATTACTGTGTATAATTAAAATAAATGCACAAATTTTATGTTTTTAAATACCGTGTTTATTTAGTTGGTAAAACTTTATTATATTGGTGAATTTCAACGAAATTAGCGTTGTATATGATTTATTAGATAAATTATGCTAATTAAATAAATAAATAAATAAATAAAACAAATTTAGCGAGACAAGTAGGTAGGTAGACTAGGTAAATTATTATGTCTAGTTATCCAATTAAATTTCTCGTGCATGTCATGTCAACATTTTTAATGGTATGAACGCCAACGGTCGAGATAAAATAGTTAATTAGTTAAAGGGAACAAAATGTTTTCCTAAAAGAATTAGATATAAAATTCTTAAAATTTGATTCAATTTAATCTCGAGCATTTAAATTCGTTAATAAACGTAACAAATTTAGAGGTTGAGACGGGCTTTTTTATTTTATTAATTTTAATATTTACTAAAAAAAATATTAAAATAAAAAATTGTAAAATAAAAAAGAATTAAATATTATAAAAGCGTGGCGTGTGATTGGTTGAGTTATGATGAAACATTATTGGGACTCTCAGGCTCATCAACTACTCATCTTTTTCAAAGGGGCCCCATTCCATTCCATATTCTTCACTCAATTAGAAATCCCCATAATGCCCCTACGTTGACTCCAATTCTGAATATATTGTCAGGGTAATTAAGTCATTTCACAAGGTAGATAATGGCATAAATTTCAGAATAATAATATAATCAGAGAAATTAAATAACCGTGGGGGTGAGACCACGACCGGAACATTAGAATAAATGTGG